GAAATACCTGGCGACGGAAGACTCCACAGAAGGTGCAATTGTTCTTTAAACCAATGACCTTCACTATTTCATCCATTGTCCATCCATACAAGTCCTTGTAAGATATGATTTTTAAAGGCAACCCATACTGGAAAGGGGGAAAGGGTACCACCAGAGTTGAGTTATCAGGTCAGTACAGCCACAGAAAGAATTCATCACAGTTAAGTGGAAGTTAAATAATGTAAGGAGCCATTAAGAGAAATATGTTGACTTTAGTTAGAAAAACATGCATTTGAATCTCTAGGCCTAAATGCATGCTCATGCATATGTGTAGTTTAATTGACTTTAAAATACAGTTGGCTGTATGAAGCATGAACAAAAACTATTGTGCAACATATGATATGGCAACGTAGCTTAACTTGTGGAACAAAAAATGGCAACCACTACAAAGAAAAACTTAATGTAAACTGTCAAAAGTAAAAATCTCTTTTACCTGAACTTCGTTTCTTTTAACAGTTTCAAGCGAGTCATCCCGGTAACCAGTGATACCCTCATCAACTGACAGGAGGAAAAGGTCAAGGCCATAATTGTGTTTCTTATTTAGTTTTGACAATACATAAGCCAGGACCGTTGAATCTGTTAAAAAAATAATAAATATTGTAATAAGCAATAAGAGAATATTAGCCATCTAAAGACAAGTAAAAAGCAAACCATAAATTCATAATATATAAGATGAATTAAACAGTTTTGAATGAAAGAACAATGAGAGGAAAAAACAAAAAAGAAAATATGAGAATTCATATATGGCGCAGACATAGACTACAGAATTTCATCACTTTGGGTCAAAACAACAAACCCAAAATATAAGTAAATAACTTCAACTAAAAACAGCCAAACAATGAAGCAATCAGCAGCAAAAGGGTGGGTGTTTTCAAATAATATGTTCTTCAACTGATTCCTTCATTCTTATGAACAGAGGACCAGAAAAAAAAAAGAAAAAGAAAAAGGCTAAACATATTAAGGTGAATAGCAGCACATATGCAGATATAGCACATAAAGATTGGAAAAAGTAAATAATAATAGTAATATATTATTATTATTTTTCAAAGTGAAGGAAAGCTATATACACCAAGGCAATGCTTGGCATGCGGAAGTGTATTTTAGGTACCAAACATTGCACAAGTGAATTCCTTTATCTACAATAAACCAGCGTTGGCGAAGATAAGAGTTTTCTATCATACTTCGAGAAGCAAAAGCCAAAATATCATGAAGTGACAATGAAAATAAATATTCAATCCTGTAAGTTTGATCCATGCAAAATGTTAAAAATCAGTTTTGAATAGACATTTACCCTTTCCACCAGAAGCACCAAGAGCAACACGTTCGCCTGGCTTGAATAACTGGTTAGTCACAATAACCTGATGAATCTCGTCCTCAAAAACATCATAAAAACACTCCCTGCAAATCTTTTAAGGTTCACAAAATCAGAACAAGTGTGTCAGTAATCTAATTCCAGAAGACCAGATAGCCGCAGCAATCCCCAGAATAAACTGATGAGATCTAGGTGTTCTTTGGTAAACATAGAAAGACTACCACAAGAAGTGAGATAACAGAATGGGTTAAACAACACAACATAGCCCTTTCTGAAGAATGAATCAGAGTTTACAACGATTAAAAAGTAGATAAAATAACAAAATTTATATCTTCTCGAAACAACTATAATAAGAGCATGCAATTGCGCAATTACAAAACAGAAACAAGCTAGAAATCACTCAAATTTTCCACTAAAACCAAACAAAAATAGTTCGAAGACAAGGTTTATGGGATTAATTTGGCACTGTCCCCGGTTAGGATACAAAAAGTAATGAACTCGCACAAGTTGGAAATAACGGCAATCAAATCATGCAAGCACAAAACTTCAAAAGAGAAAAGAGGAAGAAATCAATCAAGTCTTCCAATGAACAAAACAACGGTGGTTTCAAAACAGGTTTGTGGGGTAAATTAGGGACCTGTTCAAGAGTCTTGGGTCTTTTGAGGGCAGCTCTTCTTTGGTTACATACGCAGCACAAACGAGTACCGCTTCTTTTTGGCTTCGCTCCTGTTTCGTCCATTCTACGGAATTGTAAACTGGGAAGCTCACAACTCAACAAGGTACAAACAAGACAACCTTCTTCCTCCGTTCAATCACATATTGGCATCGGATTTCGGCGGCGGGAACATGTAAAGGAGGCGGGTTAGCATGCCGCTTTTTGTAAATTGCAATACTGGGGCCTTAGTGTGGTCCTTTTGTTCCGATTACCTCATTTTTTAAAATTACTTTTATTTTTAAAATAATTTTTTATTCAAATTATGTTCATAGAAATAGGGATGAAAATATGACTCAATTTTTTATTCTAGTTTTAAAATGATTGAGTGCCAAATGTTAATTTGATTAAAAATTATAAAATATACATAACAAAAGTACAAAATTATAATAATATTTATACGATAAAAAGCCTAAAATAATTAACAGCATAAGAAACCCGATAAGCTTTTCTGCCTTAAGAAAATGAAATAATTGAACTTTATTTCTTAAGGTGAATATTTATATTTGGCTCTTATTCTTGCCAGGCATATATTGATTGCTAAAAGCTCTATCTTTCATTATTTAACGGAAAATTTTCTGTTCTACTCCTTTGGTCCAATTTATAGGGAAGATAGAGAAAAAAATTTTTAATCCTATTTATAAGATACTAAGAGAAATTTTTTGTATGGATATACAATTTTATCCTTCATTTATTATAGTGTTAACTTTGTTTACATGAAATATAATGTATATTAAATGGAAATAAAATTAGAAAGTTGTTAAATTTTAAATGAGAGTTAATAAAGTTTAAGGTTTTTATTGGTTTATATGAAATATACTGAAAGTGACTTATAAATAGGACCAGAGGAATAACTTCTGAGTATAAAAGTCAATTAAGAGTTTGCTTTAATTTTAAATGTAAGACCTGAATTTATTTAGTCTCTCAAATTCATAATTTTTTTAATAAATTATTCCTATTGATAGTATAATACACATATTAAAGAAGTGCATTTTACGGGAATGATTTCCATTGTAAATAATTATAAAGATATATTATACGAACTAACACATATTATTTCATAAATAAATAGTTTAACTAATTCTTTAATCTTATTAGTAATCTAACTTTTATATTTAGAATTGAAAGATTATTTTATTTTATTTTTGCAAAAAGGAAAAACATCATATAATTTTCATGTTTCAAAAAGATCACATCTTTTTCACTGGGGGCATTACAAATAAGTTTTCCCCCTAAATAATTCATTCCTTAAATTATCTATAAAAACCCATTGTTGTTTTATCCTTCAATGCACATATCTTTTTGGTAAAAGTTTTGTCCAGAGCAATCTATACTTGTTTCTGCCATAGTCTCAGGCTCAGAAAATCAATGGAGTCTCTAAGAAAGCATGCTGCTTGAAGAAGCTATGGTTTTAAATCCAAAACTACTCATAAAAGGAGAATAGGATTTGCTTACAAATTTATTGCCACAAAATCTGCAGAAGAAATAAAAGAACGTTATAATAACCAAGAGAAATATGCAAATAACAGTGAATATTTTGAACGTAAAGGACATCAATACACTGAAGAAGAACTTGAAGAAGATATTAAGAGGGTTTTAGATGGATCTATCCAACTTACTCCATCAATCCATACGTAAAGAAGAAGGTCCAGAGGAAGCTTTAAGAGAGCAAGGATATGAACTCAAAAATCGTCATAGTTCAATGAATTAATATAATAGAAAAGTGGAACATATATATTAGTTAATAAATATTTGGGAGGTTTATCACTTAGGAGTTGGGAAGAGTGCAGTTATAAGAGTTATATGTATGAAATGAGTAGGCAAAAAAATGTATGAAATGAAACTTTTAAAAAAATTAATTATTATCTTTAGTTTCAGAATATTATTATTAGTTGATAAAGATTAGAAAAACTTATCATTTAATTATTAGTTGATAAAGATTAGAAAAACTTATCATTTGGGCTTAGAAGAGAAGATTGCAGGAGTTATATGCATGGAAATTAGTTGGCTTAATCATTGTCTTTATTTTTCTATGCCGTAGTACAAAGTATTTATTATTGGCAATTGGCTAATTATCTTAATTTTTTTTAATTCTAACCTTATATAATTAATTAGAAGCCACCCTTGTAATATTTTCAAGAGTTTCTCGCACGACAAAAAATTATCGGGATAGGTGCAATGATTTTATTGTGCATGATAATCTATTTAAATTATATATGTAATTTTTAATACACACATAATGATTACCATAAGTGGTTCGTAGAAGTTTTGTTACTTTCTTCTCAATTTATATTTCAAGGACAAAAAATGACTTTGCAGCTTTTTTCCGGTGATAAAGAAATAAAGTTTTGGTCTAAAAAGTTGAAAGCGCAATTTGTGATGGAAAATAATGGAAAACGAGTATCATTTTTTTTATTTCCATGACAAACTAAGGGGAAATTGTGATCCTTGACAATATCTAATTTCACTTTTTTGGTGGAAAAATTTGGCAGTGAAGAAAAGAAGAACACGTTTTTTTTTAATGTTTTTTCCCCTTAATTATAGGCAAAAGTTTTTATTAAGGAAACCATCGACCCAAAGATGAAATAATCAAATTTCCTCTGAAAAACTATAATTTCTTAATGGAAGAAAGATATAATCTCTCTCGTTAAAAAGGAAGAACTATAGTTTTTTCTAGACACCATATCGTTTGCATTCATTATAAGGCGTTTCTTTTCAATTATTCATCCCTCAAATTTCTTTATAAAAGCCACTGTTTCCTTTTCTACACCTTCTTTCCACCAAAGATTTTGTCTAAAATTAAATATTACTTTATCCATTAAGTGTTATTTGTAATTGAAATCATGGATGATGAATATTATTGCTTGATTTCAATAACATCCTCATAGAATCTATACATGGAATTAGGACAGCAATATCCATAAAAGAAAAATGGTAAATTTTTATAACAAACTATTCATAAGATATAAACAGTGTGGGGCTTATTAGTTGTTTCTCAGACTCCATCTATCTAATAAATAGGAAACACATCAATTTCACCAAACACAGAATATTCAACATGACGTGCTGTATAGCTCATTCTTTGGCAAGAAACAAGAATTACAATCGCATGCATAATAGCAACATAGTGCTATTGGCCTAGGAGAGAGAGTGTACAAAAAAATACAGTTAAAATAATGAAGCCAATAAGAAAGAACCACAAAGGGTAGGGGGAAAAATGAGTTAATTCTTGGGAATGTTCTTGCCCACAATCTTGGCAGGAGCAATCCTCATGAGATTTCCAGGCTTACCAGGAAGAGCACCTTTGATCAAGACAACATTAAGATCTTTATCAATCTTAACAATCTTAAGCTTTCTGATCTTGGTTTTTGTTCCTCCCATCCTACCAGGCATCTTCTTCCCCTTGTACACACGCCCGGGAGTAGTTCCGGCACCGATTGATCCTAACTGTCTGTGACTCTTTGAACCATGGGTCATCAGACCCCTTTTGAAGTTGTGACGCTTGATACCACCTGTCATAATAGTTCAGGCATTATGTAACACAATTTATCTATGGCGAATTGTTGCAGGCCACAGTCAAGGTAAACTCATATCACCCACTTTAGCTGCTTGGCGTTGAATCTTAATATTAGGAGAAGGAAATAAACACAAGATTAGAATTAAAGGTTTGTTTGGCACACATAAAGACTATACTACTAAATGATTCATCACTAAAACTAGCTTAGAAACAATTCTTCATTATGGCTTAGAACCAGTAGTTCTATGTAAAGATGCAAGAGTCACTTCCATCACATTCTCATTCCTTTTCCTTTCTTTCCTAGAGATTCTGCGTACCAAACATATCTACGGAACAGAATATATACACTAAAAGCTGAGGTACAAAGCAGCACACACATTAGACATCAATTAACAAAAACAACTAAGACTATATTCAAATAACAGCCCCTTATCTATGCTAATGATGATACTCAAAAGCAGCTAATTACATATGTTCGTTACATAAATACGACATTCCACCCCAAAAAAAAGAAAGGAAGAAAAAGAATTCCTTGAATGAATAGCCTCACATGCCGCATTTCATCCATTTTTGTCACTCTACCTGGGAAATTCGTAAAGGCATATACAGTTAATGTTCAGACTTTAGAGGTCAGAGTATATCCATAAACAATCATCCAAAAGCACATTCATAGTCCAAAATTATATAACCTACAATTTCAACCCCATACTCCCCGGGCGTTCTCCCTTTTCAAAAGTACTGGCCAATTGATATAATTATCAGGACAAAAGTTCTCTAATTCTAGCATCTAAGGAGCTCGTACTTAGTAAGCATAAAATGGAACGCTTGATTAGCTGAAAACACTTATCAAAATCCTGAGATTAACATACTTTATTCCTTTCTCCATTATAAAATGAAGGCAATATAATAGTACGCTGAAATCACTGAACTGCCAAATACAATATCATCCTGAAATTATTCCCAGCGCAACACAGCAAATGGGAGAGAGAGAATCAAAACCTTGGAACCCCTTGCCAATGGTGATGCCAGAGACATCAACAAGATCACCCTCCTTGAAAATTTCATCCAACACAAGTCGCTGATTAGGCTCGAACCCTTCCACAGACTGAAGACGAAATTCCTGAAGATGCCTCATGGGTATAGCACCCACCTTCTCAAGATGACCCATCTCTGGTTTAGTCAGTTTTCGATCCCTTACCCTTTCATATCCCAATTGGACCGCACTGTAGCCATCAGTAGCCTCAGTCTTAATCTGAATCACAATATTCCCTTCTTTAAAACCCACCACAGTCACTGGAACGACCTCGCCGCTGGGTTCGAAATAACTCATCATCCCCAATTTTGTGCCCATTACTCCTACGCCAGCCTCCACGCTCATAACCGCCACGCCTCTCACTGGCCTTTTGCGTCCTTTAGTCGCTGCATAAAGTTTTGAATGGAGCGGTTCTTGCAATTTCAGCAATGGGTTCCTCATTTGGCGAGGCGAAATTTTGAGCGAGCATGTTAAGCACGAAGTAGAAGCTGCATTGTGGCGAGAAAATAAAGGAGAAACCGATGAAGAAATTGATAAGGTTGACATTATTGGTTGTATCAGTGGAATATTGAAACCTAAAGATAAACCATCGATTTTTTCGCGCTCTGTAGAGAAGAGAAATGGAACCAGAGAGTGGAAACCTCAAAAGTTAGAAGCTTGCGACCTTGTGGAATAAAGGAAGCTAAACTCTTATCCAGTCCCTCCAGATAAAGCAGCTCGAAATGATTTGGAAGACGACCCGTCCGGAACGGATCATTTGGAAGACATGGATCATCCAAACCCGCTACTAGTTTTACCGGCCCGGCAGAAATGCACTGCAGTAAATGATTTCATGAGACGGGTGAAAGTGTATTTAGTGAGTAAATTAGTTTGTTAATATATTTTTAGTAGTTGTTAACCTTTTTACTTTTTTCCAGTAATTTTTTATTATAAACAATAAAGAGATATTATTTATAAATATCTCAATTAAAATTTATTTATTATTGAGTCAATGTTGGTTAGAATTTGCTTGGCTATTTTCTAATTTATTTATTATCATTTAATATTTACTTTTATTGTATAAGTCTATAAGATAGGCAGGAGCCAGGAGAGGTAGCAAGATACAATTTCAGATTAATTGTAATGTTGAGAGATTTCCCTATTAGTTTTATGAGTTTAAAATCCTTGTTCAACTAAAATTGTTATTAGTTGAGATAGTAAACGGTTTTATCTGTAAAAAGAAAAACACAGGTTTAAATTTTGAAAAGCGTATTTGTTGACGGAACTTTTAACTATAACACTCCTATCCCAATCAAAATTAGTCTCGAGTTCAAAATAATTTGAGAATTATAAAAACAAAAATCCTTGATCATATTTTAATAGAGATTTTCTCTTTTTCTGTTTAATCATTAGATTTTGACTTCATATTGTAATAAAGATTTTTTTCCCTTCCTTTCTTGCTATCTTTGGATTCATGTGTATTCACATAAAAGTTAATATAAACCTTTTTTTTGATGCTCATATGAATCATATTATTTATAATTTGCAACATATTCCCATTTATAAGTGGGAGAATGATTTACAAATATCATTAAAATAGGTGCATGATAAAGTAATGGGTTAATACCATACTTAGTCTCTACAGTATTTTGCCAGCGGTTTGTGCATTACAAGCAACTCAACAAATATTGGCAATCAAAATGTCTCCCGCACAATCCAAGTTACGTCATTTTCAAAGTAAACTAGCAGTTCCATTTTCCAGACAACCGGGGGGAAAACTCATTGCAAGTACTTTCGGGTTTCAACATCTTTGAATCATCACTTTGAATTTGATGATTAGAAAGACAAAAAGAAGGGAAAAAACATACAACGTAGGTTCATGAAGTAACTCATTACGTGTTCAATCTTTGACGGCAAAAGTTAAAATGCCAAACTACTACTATACAGAAACGCAGTCGTCAATTAATTTACTTTTGATAGGAAGACTCAAACAGAGCCCTCAGGTTTTGGGGGAGGAGGATTGCCTTCCGGGGCAGATGCTCTTTTGAAAATGGAAGCCATTTGGACCCCCACTGAGGAAGAGCCATCATGAGAACTTCCCTGCCCAGAATGATCATTTCTGTGTTCTTTCTTCTTCTTCACTCTTTGAGCCCAACCAACAAGCCCCACTTGCACATGCTCGTCAAATATTGCCTTCTTGAAGTGAGTTCCCATCTACAGCATTGTTTCAAACAGACACATGTTCATCCAATGATGCCTGAATTTAGAACATGGGACCCACGTGTTCTCTTGTGACGATTTAACATTAACAGTCATTTTGAATCCGCATTCTGTCCATTTTAGAGGGAATATGACAATTTTATTGAACAAACTTAAAACATTCAATCTATTAGGATTGGCTGAATTTCCCCTTTAATTCAAGGTAAGTATTCTTGATGCTCACAATTTTGAGCAAATTGTAGCTATTTAGTAAGCATAAACAATTCAAATGCGCTAAAAATGACTAAAATGTTAGCCCTGTGCTTGCACAGAATTTTAGGTAAACCACATTTTTCATGGTTTATGGACAATGCGGCTTTCTATAAATTGTATATTATATGGTACATTGATAACTTATCTTTAATTGAAGGAAAAATTTCAACCAACTAGATCGACTGGATGGCTAGAATTTGCTCAAAATAAATCATTTTCTTGACTGAAATTGACAGAGTTCACACTCTGACACTGGCTATAGATCACACAAAATCCGGTGAGGTGAAGATTTAAAAATTGACCAAGTAAAACGGTGATTATTAGTGATTGTCTATCTTTTTCTTTTGTTATTTGGTAATAAACTAGACGCAACTTATAACATCTTGCCATACAAGGATCCACTTCAATTTGAACAGAAATCCAAACATACCTGCGTAACGAGTGCATACAAAGGGAGCGTACTGTAGCTGCAAAGGACCAGAATGAATACCCTGAAACCCCAAGACCGAGAAAGAAAAGAGAAAGAGGATTAAACTTCAGCGCACATAAAATAAGTAAACAAAGAAACAATATTAAACAACGAAAGGTCCCCAAAGTTTCATTTACTACAATTTAAAAGTCTGAGCCCCTACGGCCCTTGAAAAAATTTAACTTGGTCCATTAAGTTGAACATTCATCGGAGGGCTGTTGAGTTTTACTGATATAGCTAGCTATGAGCTGCTTTTAATTTTATTACTCCATAAATGCATGTTCATACTAACTCAAGCTAAACACTTTATTTAGAAAGCATCAAACCACTTGAATGAATTTCTTGATTTCAGCTCATCGTCTTTTTCCTTATGCATGAACCATTTATATTGCAGTGGCAGATTGGCAGTGGTGACATTATAGCAAGCAACTCAAAAGTTTTCCAAGACTACAAGTCCAATTATAAACGTTAAAGTGAAAATCTAATGCTAACAGAATAATTCAGCCCTGAAATAATTCACAATTCTAAAAGAGAAGAAAATGTAGCTGTTACCCAATGACGAGCCTGGGGACAATGTAACGGACTTGTCCCATTATGCAGGAATCAAAGCCATAAGTAACCTGTGATATTTAAGCTGATAAGGTTATGTGCATTACAACTAGGAGATTATATATAATGTCAACATATAAGGGCAAACGAAAGGAGGAGGACCACAAAAAGGTCTATTATGGTCCAAATGAATTTGCTCACCAATATCCAGAAAAAGAACGCTATCTCAAAAGAATTCTGGAAAAGGATGAAGTGAATCAGGAAGAGGATGAAGTGAGGCCGATGAAACCAAAAGTGAGCATCTGATGGTTGAACAACCAATTCACCTTCTATGGCAGCATGCTTTTCAGCCACTTCATGAGCTAATTGTATTATTACATGCTCCAACTTAGTGCCCACAGCTAGTAGAAGCTGAAAGAATGGAAATCAGTACAATGGGATAAATAGCGAAGGATCTAATAGAAAAATTAGAAGCAAGATTGTGAAGTCCCTAAATGTATGGGGTTGCAATTATATGGTGAGATAATGAGATTACATGACTATCTATATTCTGTTGACAAGAAACTGAAGCTGAAACAAAGGGCGATGCTTGAAAGACATGCAATATAGTTCTCAAAAACTGGAAACAAAAATTCTGACATAATACTAAACCAGCGGTCACTCTTAATCAAATCTAGCAGAGGTACTGAATGTAACACAATACTTTAAGAAACCAAGGTGACGTGTTATCTGTTTACTGAAGCTTAAACAAAAGCTTGTGACCAAGATACAAATGGGTTGAACACTTCCACGTTTCCATTGTCCATTGATATATTCTTTGTAAAGGGATTACCCATGAATGACTAAAAAATTTAATTTGCATGGCTGCACATACTATTGAAGCCAAAATTGAAAGGAGAGGAGAATGCACAGACAAAATCAAATTTTGACAAATTTTTAATTTCTCAGGCTTAAACTGAAAGGAAAAAACACAATTACAATTTACAAGAGTAGATGTGTCAGCTGCATTCTGTCACATTAAATCGCTTCTAAGATTTGTGGGTTCGTGTGAAAGCCTATCCAGCTAGCTATAGAGGCATACGAAACCCTATGGATTTATTAAATCTTATTAGAAGTTGATTCTACACAGCTACACTATCAGCTATTACTTTCAGAATTCAAAGGATGCTTTGAGATCCGTTCGCTAGAAGCCATGGTGATAGAAGAAAGGAATCAGGATATTATGACATTGCATAGAAATAAGGGTTTGTCCCCATCTGAGCGTACTTAAATGGATTATTTAAAAAAAAAAAAGTACGAGCAACTGTTTTCCTTTTTATATTATTTGTACATAATTGAGTCATGATGAATCTGCAAGCAGAATAAATTATATGCACATGTCCGCAGAAAGTGAGACAAATGTTATCAAGATACTTACGATAAAGGGAATAAACGCTATCCAAAAATATGTATGCCAGCCTGTAAGATCAAAGAAAATATCTGAATTTGGAGCCAGAAAGTTTTTTTTTTTTTTTAACAACAAACAAAACCAAAAGAAACAACTAGATGGGGCAGAATGATCATCAGTACATACCACTAATGTTAAGCAACAAAAAGAGGACCACAAAGATCCATAGATACCAACTGCAACCAAAAACAGTATGATCATGGGTACAGAATCAGTTCGCTCACATGATAGGGCAGTCTAAGCGATCAATATGTATGATATGCACACAGCATTATTAGTTATTACAGATTACATATTGAATCCAGAGCAGCACTTACCTTATACCAACAACTTGTTTAAAATCATCTTCAAGGGCCCGTATCATGTATTTGTGGAAGTTAAACTTCGGATTTGACTTGCAGTGAGTCTAAAATAGAGAAACACACAAAAGAACGATCTTAATATCCCTACTTGGAGACTGCTAGCAAATAACCAGAACAAGGATAAATAGGTGCAAAAATCACATTGAATCCTACAAACTTACCATGATAAAACCATGCCGTAAAGTCGTATAATCCAGTTTAGTCACAGAGCCATAAAATTGCTTGAAAAAGGAGTGCTGCGAGAAACTTGCAAGGTTAAGATGAATAACTAAATTTTTTTTTAATATAAAAAAAATATCGACTAGGCATTTAGCATGACTTTCTGGAATAAAGTTGTCATGGGGTCCAACTTATCAACAGCTTTGGAAAAGCTCAAGGATTTCGTTAATCTGGGCTCATGAATAAGAAGAAAAGAACTAAATAGAGGCAATCAAACCAATAAGGAAGGAATCATATGGAAAGGAGAACATTTAACAGTTTTGAAAAACAATTGGAAACCAGTAAGATGTAACAAAACTAATCTACAGGTTCAAAGATCAGCCACTCGCTGACCAATGTAGGGAAAATCACTCACATCCCTTCAGTATTTTATGCCACATTCTGATTCCACTCCTTTAGAAGGTCATGTTCCCTTGTGATATCAACTAAGGTACACTCAAGCACGATCGAGACTCAGTAGAAATGGCTCAATATTAAGCTTTATTGGACAAGGAAAAGCAGGAAAATGCCAAAGAAACGTAAATTATCTGTTAGTGTGCATTACATAGAACACGCCATAATCAATAATTTTATCTTCTATTCCTATCTCCATATGCATTATTTGTCAGGCTGCATTATAAAGGACTCGAGAAGTAGACAGAATTTAGAGAATCTTCAAATAAGGGGTTCAGAAGTGGTTTTAGCATGAGTGATGTGAATATACCCTTATCAATTCTAAGTTTCGAATCCTGATTAACATATGAATAACTTACCAACCAACCCATCAGAACAGAGTCTTTACCAAAGCCCAGAAAATGGCCCTTAATAAAATCATGCTGGTGAACATGAGTGATCTTTGGTTCCAGAACTGCAGTAATCCAATTTGCATGTAAGGAGAAATGGAGAAGAAAAATACTCAAAAGGATAGCATGTACAGAAATTAAATATAGGTAATTTGATAAATTAATTCTTTTCAGCAGTTCAATGGTTCAAAAAAACAAAAAAATAATATTTATAAAGTAGCATCAGGATGACTTGAAAAACATCCATCATACGCATACACTGTAATAGCTGATCAAATCACTTACCTCTCTGTGTTTCATAGTTGTCTTTAGCAATTGAGTCCTCCCAATGCTTCCACTGACGTATCTATGCAACAATAGATGAATGACTAATAAAGAAAGAAAATTATGGGCATGAATAGTTTATGATAGAAAGTGTCCAAAATACTCACATTCAATCCTCCGAAGAAAATAGTCAAAACACAATAGGTTACATGGACCACGGCCAGAACAAATATAAAGATGTGCAGGTGATGGATGGCTTCCAGAGATAACAATGGAACCTTGTGCTGAAAGGAAAAGAGGTTATCTGATCAACATTCATGAAATTAAAAAAGAAAATGCATGGCATAAATAATTGACAGGGTTAGCTCGTAAATGCGAGAATTTTGATGACTAATGTGATAATTACAGTGTAGTGCTCTGAATATTTGTCCTTTATTTTTGAAAGTTTCCTTGCCTCCCCAAATTATAAGACTCAGAAGTCAGAACGAATACATAGACATCTCGTCCGAAGTGCATAATCACAGCCAAAAACGATATCTCAATGCTCAATTCGAAACAAAGCTTATAAACTGAATGGAGACCCCAAAGAAAAATAGAAGCGTCAAATTCTGTGTAGGCAGTGACAGTGACTGATTGATGAACTTTCTCTCCTGCACATGACTACTCTAACTCTTGTACCAAAATGCTGTCCTCTTGCATCTCATCTTCATCCAAAATTAGATACCATCAAATGCTATATGCTCACTATGCACCAATCACCCATCAAGTAAGTAAAAATAAAATGGTAAAACTGACAAAGCTTTTGAAAATAGATGGGATAAAACGACACAATCCCAAGCATATAAGCAACTGATGGGCGAACTATAAAGAAAAAGATCTATCAAAGAACAAATTGAAAGCTCACCAATCTCAACTCATGAATGTGTAATGTTACCTTACGAGCACAGTAGCTACTAGACGACGACCCCTCAGCAAGAAGACGACGAACAGTTCCAGAAATATCAGGGGAAGAGAAGAAGCTCTGAAAATGGGATATAGGTGTCTTTGATTTTTCACCTTCTCCTTCATTCGAATCACAAGGAAGCATATGGTGGGTAAAACCCGGCGGAACGCAAATCTTGGTAATACCATTCTGTGTAACCGTCAGAAGCAGCGAGATAAAACCCAACAGCATCAACTCTGAAAAACGAACAAAAAAAAAACACTTACAAAATTTGAAGAACTCTGCACATCCACTAATGAAGAGAAGAGAGAGAGTATTATCAAACATAAATCATATTTTATTATTAAAAAAGGTAGTAGAAAAAAGCAGAAAAGAGAGTCAAAGAACCTTCTTTGATTTTCTGAAGAGCTTCATAGAGCGGCTTCTGATCCCTCTTCTTGAGGAACTTGCCGCCATAATGAAGAAAACGTTCGGCGGCGAGTGAAACGGCGACGATGACAGTGCAAACGAGAGCAACAACCCATGTGGGAGTGTGCTCCAAGGTGGCCTCTTCTTCCCCACCTCCACTCATTCTGCTTTCTCTCACTGCTTTTCTCTCCCTCCCTCTCTCTCTCTAACTTTTTAGCAACTCAGCTTCTAGCAAAGTACCCTGTGAACTCTCGGCAGGGAGTCACGTATTGCCGTCCATATACGTCTCCACTCTGCTTTCGCGTGAAAGCGCAACTCTTGTTTTGATTTGATTTCTCACAACCAATCCATTTCGTACAAGCTGCTTCAAAGTATTAAATATGAAAATATGACTTGAGTGCTTTTAAAATAAGAAAAAAGGATTATGGTTCTTTTCATTTTGCTGAATTTGTTGCTTATATTGTCCCACCGACTTTTTAGGTACTTATTTTTATATTATACGTCATCATTAAAAAGTATATATTTACCAATTTTGCTGATAAATAATTTATTTTAGATAAAGAAAAATACAAAAGAGAAGCAACTTGGATTAAGAATTGAATAATAAACATGTAAATGTAATTACAGTTAGAATTTGAATATAATTCTTCCCAGAAGTATTTTTAGGTAAACAAATTCAAAAAGATTGAGTAAGCAGTTTGGTTGTTGACTTTTGTGGATTATATTTAGATATAATTTATATAGAAATATAAGAACTGAATAATTTCATTAAAAAAAAATTTACTGTGTCGTCATAAGAATATGACACTTTTTATATAAATACCAATATTAGCCAAAATAATGGTTTTCAAATGAAAGTTACGGTTGATTTTTCAGATTTGCTGCCAGATAGGGAATCCAATACATTTAACTTGAACTGAAAAACCCCAATATAGAAGGCAAATTTACATCTTACGCTTCTGGTCCCCAGTTAAGTGTAGAGCCGGGAAAACGGGCCGAGCCCGTTTAAGCCCGTTTAAGTCGAGAGCCGGGCTTATATTTTGGAGCCTTGAAAGGGAAGTCGGGCTTAAAAGGGCCAGCCCTGTAGGGCCGAAAAATAAATGGGCCGGCCCGTTTAGGCCCGCCAAATTATTATTTTTTAATTTCTGTCTTTTTTTCTTAACTTAAAAAAGAAAACCCTAACATTTTAAACATAGCATACTCTTAGTTTTACTTATCTTGGCAGCTCACATAGATAGCATTCACAAAAAGAAAAAAAGAATCACTATAGCTGTGGGAAAAATAACCAAAAAAACATGAAAATTGCAAAATTTAAAACTAGGTATATTCATAAAAATATATTGTTATTTATAAGTTGTCAAAACCTATTAAAATACTGTATTTATAATTTTTACAGTCTTTATTTATCATTCTCCCATATTTTTTATACTTGAAATATAATTGATCAAAAAATCTTTTAAACTAAAATAAAGATCTATATCATTTTTATAGTAGAAACAAATTTAGAACTAAGAATGATGGACTCTTTTCTTTTTTGTCGGTATGATAAATGATTATTCTTTATGTATACTATGTTTGTTAGTTAAACTTTTTTGTTAATTATTTATAATCAAACTAGATCATCCGCATTGTAATTATCTACTGAACTTAATGCTTATTTAGTTGTTTATGTCTGTCCTCTATTTAGTTTGTTTATTCAATAGACTTTATTATACTGTAATATATGTTTAGACATGATAATGTTTATATTTGTGACTCAATTTTATTTATATTTATACTTTTTATTAGTAATTTTTATTGTTTCATTTTATTATTTTGATAAAATATACAAAAAAAATAAAAAATAATTATTTTAATTAAAAAGACCAGAAGCCCGCGGGCTAGCCCGAGCCCGTCATCTCACGGGCCGGGCTTGAAAAAATGACTTATTTTTTAAACTCGGACTTAAACGGGCCGGCCCGTTTAAGCCCGAGCCCGTCACGGGCCGGCCCGTTTTTCCAGTACTAGTTAAGTGTTTGTTTTGTCGTCTTTTACCAAAAGATCTTTTTCTTTTCCTCTTTTGTGGCTTGCTCTCGGAAAATAGTAATATGATAATCCGCACGTAATAATATCAAGGGTATGTTTGAGATATCATTTAAAAGTATTTATAAATATGTTTTAATATAAAAGTATTTATAAATATGTTTTAATAAATAGAAATAAAACTCTTTTTATATATTTACGTTATATTTTATAAATTATTATTAAAAAGTTATTTATAAACTATTCTAAATGAGCTCTGAGTCATTGTTCTTCTACATTCTCATTCATTATTATAACAAATTAATTTGGTTAATCTCACAAATCAAAAGAAAAAAAATAAAAGGAATGGCATAGGTAGTAGCTAATTATTTAATTTCCAATTATTTTCACCCTTTATGCGTTTTAACTTAGAAATTCAACATTCAAATGCATGTGCTTTTTCTTTTCCATTTAGATCCTGTTTGGAATCATATTTTAAATCACTTATAATTACTTTATAATTTGAAACAAAGCTCCTCATACAAGCTTACCTCATATTTTCTAAACTATGATTAAAAAATTATTTTCAAATAAACTCTTAGTAGATAGTTGCTTATATACGAGAGGTTACAGGTTCAATTTTATTTATAATTCCATGCCATTAATGTCTATTTTTTTAGTTTTTGTGAGAAAAATATCCCCTTGCAACCAACTTTGTCAAACCACCAAATTGTTATTTAAATTACTATATCTAATTATATAAGATGAATGAATTTGCGTGGTCATTATCATTCAAGCTTAACGATCCAGTCTTAATTTAATTTAATTTGATTTGATTTTCATATTTTTAATAATTTTATACACAAGCAAAATAAAAATGTCATAAAATAAAAGATAATCTTTTACTTATCATTTAAAACTATTCTTTTTATTTTTTTCATAGAGGACAATCTACGACCGCTCCTTATAAAAAGGAAACTCACATCACCTACTAACTTGTTTACTTAAGGGATGTTTGGCAACTTCCAAATCATAATTTCAAAAATACTTTTTCGTAAAACGAGGCAAATTCCTTCATATATTTACTTCGTAAATTATAAAAGCACTTTCTGAAACTATTGTTTGATTTCTATCCAAACACTCCTTTAGTGCTCGAAGCCACAACCTCCAATTTTTTTCCAATAGATGTTTTAGTGTTACTTCGTTAATAGCCCATTGATGGAGTCCAGTTTGCCATTGCATCTTATATGGCTTTGTTTTGGTTGTCTCCTTTCACGCCCACTCATTTGTTATTATTGGGACCACCGTCACCTTCACTGCTGTTGTTGCTGCCTCCTCCACCACCACTCCCCCACCCACCCGCCACTTCTTCAGCCTCATCCCTCACCATTGTAACATCCCAAAATTTGTGACAGAGGTATAGAAAAATTGTCTAAGATATGAAGGCTACTAGACCCCTTCTAACAAAAGTCCCAAAGGTTTTTTAGAGGGATAAAGGGAGTCCCAAGAATTAAATTGCAAAGTGAACATTTTCTGGAATTAAGAAAAGAGGAAAATAAAGACTCTAGTAAAGTTTCAGGGGGCAAATATGTTAGAAACTTCAGTAAGAGGATTTATAAGGCTAAATCCAAGTAGGGGCGTAAACACAAATTTGAAAAATTTAAGGTCAAAAAGGACAGTGATAGAAAGTAGGCTTAAATATTTCAGAAAAATTCTACAAAAATAGAAATGAAATCCAGAGGCCCGTATAAAGCTAAAAATAACAAAAACACCCTTGGAAGGAATTTGTGAAATTCATAGGGTTTTGGCTAATTATGTGTAGTAGCCGAAATTGAATTATTTAAAATATGAGGAGGTCTCAGATAATTGAAGAAAAATGAAAAATATTATTTAAGGAATTATCACATGTTTTAAAAATGAATCCTTCCCTAGAAAGCAAAGAGGTTAGCTTTAATAAAATTTAAAGCCTATTTATACACTATCTGGGGAAAGCCAAAATAAACTGTCTATATCTTGACTTTCGAGTTAAAAAAATTAGAGAAACTCCTCACAATGAAAAAGTGGTATTGATACCCAGAGACAGATTCTTAGAGTTATGGACCGATAGAGAGAATTCGGTCAAGTTTGTTCCAAAATAAATATTATTAAATGTTTTAAGGAAAGAACAAAGGGAAAAGCATCACTTCCTCTTTAGGCATGCTATATAATACCATGTGAGGTTAATTGTGATAAAAAAAAAAAAAAAAAAAGGTGCCAAAACATATTCTAGTAGTCCTGGGTAAGTTAGAACTAGAAAAAGTACCTGATATGATGCAAAATGGCAAATTGGTGACAGAATACCTAGGGGCTGTATTTTGTATGAATTTTCTATTAATTTTCTCCCTATTTTAAAACTAAAATGATGAAGATGCATGAATGGAATAATACACTTTGTTAAAGGTTAAGTTTGAAAGAATGGAATTATGTAATAAAATATTATACTTTCTTCACATATGTGATAAGTGGCATGTGATGTATCCCATGAGGTGGCATTTCTATTAAATGAAGAGGATGCTTAAGAGGGCTATGTGTCAAAAATCAAGATGATAAGGGACACATCATAAAGAGATTAAATAAATGGCTAAGATCAAGCCATACACGCATAAGATTAAGAATTAGGATTTGAGCAAAATTTTTATAAATATCTCTTCCCCTCCCATATGGCCAAAATTTTTGGCCAACATAAGGAAAGAGGGGGAGAAGCTGAAAATATGAAGGAAGAAAGGGGAAGAAGAAGATCAAAAGGAAATATACAAGATCAAGCTCCAAAACAAGATATATTCATGATTTTTGATGTATTTTCCATTACCTTTATTGTTATTGAGCTTGGTTATGGGTTTTGTTGGATTTTGGGAGCTTGAAACCCTAAGGGAACATGCTGCATGAAATTAATAGATCTAAGATAAGATAAAATTAATGTTAGAATAATGTTTAAAGGCTTGAAAAGAACAATAATCAAGTGGTTTTGTGATGAGTTTGCAAGAAAACTAACTTCTTGCTAACCTTTATAGAATTTTAGCTAGACTTAGGGGTTCATGTTAGGATTGGATTTTGATGATTTTAATGCTTTCAATATATTTAAAATGAAAAATTGTGTGGGGATTTTGATGATTTTAATGCTTTCAATATATTTAAAATGAAAAATTGTGTGGGGTAAAGATGAGAAAACAAGTTTGAAAGCATTAGAATTGAAAATGAAATTTTGAACCCTAAAACCCTGTGTGTT